ACTTGTCTACTGGATCTTTTTATGGGACTGACTTCTATTCTAATGGTTTAATTACAATACAGAAGGATAAATTTAGAGATGAGAATTTATATCTATGCATACCTGTAAATGTGGTCTGAGATTTTTGAGTAGATGTATGATTTTCAACCATCACTGTCAGTTTGTGAACTAACTCACAGTCTTTAAACATTATACAACCCAGACTCTGAATTGGGGAAGAGAGGGAATTTCTTTTAAAGTGTTCTCTTCTCTGAGTGTTTTGAAACCTTAAGTAATTTCTCCCCCTTTGGCATCTTGTCATATCCTGAAGGTCAGTCTGACAGCGATGGACAAGCTCAATTTCTTTCTGATTTCCAAGCAGCCACATTGATGTACCTTTTTTTTTCTTTTTTTTTTTTTTTTTTTCTGTAGTGTATGATTGGGTCCCTCACATTAGTAACAGAATACAGACCATCTGCAATTCTGATTATTAATCTGTCTTAGAAAATCCAGCGATTCACCTATTGAAGAACAAATGTAAAACTCACCAGCAATTAATTTTCCCCAGTTTATAGGATAGATTAGGGAACACTGAATTTGAAATCAGCTTGGCTCCTTAGTGCATCAGAGAAATATTAAGCAACTACTTATAGGTAGCTTAAGGTAGAAAAAGAGAAATTTTTAAATTATAATTAAGTAGACATTATTTCCTGACATTCTATCAATTGACTTAATGTTGTATTCTTTTTTAAAATTTTTTGGAGAATGTTCAAGCAGCTACAGATCTGTACATATTGATGGGATACAGTGTAAAGAGTAATAATTTTAGACTTAGGCCAATATAAGTTCAAATCCCAGCATTGCCTTTTACTAACAGCCATATCTTAAAACTTATTTATTAAACATCCCTTATTATCATTTTCCTCACTTGTAAAAATGAGAAAAAGATAGTTAGGCTTATAGACAAATTTGTACCTCTTTATAGCTATCATTCACTTGTTAGTCCACTTTTATCACTAATTTATCCCTAGGGGTGGGTGTGTGTGTGTGTGTGTGTGTGTGTGTGTGTGTGTGTGTGTGGCTATTCTGTACTAATGAAGACTTTGTAGCAACAAGCACATAGGTTTAAATTCAAAGAACTGATGTCTGAAAAAGAAAACACATATAATGGTGAGAGATAATGATACACTAATTAAGGGGCAATGATGTAGAGAAATGAGTAATTATTTTTTTAATATATAAGGCAGAAAATACAGGTATGATTCATGGTACTATTCAGTAGACGAATTTATGTATGGGATACATTATCCGGTTAATATAATACATTTCTGGAAAATGTACATTCTAAGAGTTTTGCTTTATGATTATGAATGGAAATACCTTGTATGTTCTGCTTTATACATGTACAAATAAAATCTCTGGAAACAGAGACATGATAAATTGGAAACTAAAAGAGAGCCAGGTCTGGCATTCATGTAGCACAAAAGAGAGGAACCACATTAAAGTTTTGCAAGAGTCTGCACAGAAATAAAATTAAATCCCATGTGGTAAAAGAGCATTAGATAATCTTCTTATCTCTTATTTCTCCAACTGGGCCTGTTGTATACAGAAAAAATATTCTAAGTAATTGTGGATGCCAGTGGACTCCTGGGTCCTTCTTGTTGGCATTATGAGGGTGGAAAACCTTCACTGAAAGGTGTGGGGCTGGTCCTTTCTGCATTTGGTGGAGTTTGGTGGAGAATAGGAAGCCTGATGCTTTGGTGGGTCTCTCTGCCCTTAGCCAGTGTTAGGACTGAGCCTTACACAAAGTATATGGGGTAGGTGAGTCTAGTGCACTCTCTGAGACATAGTAAGAACTCCTCTCATTTCATTTATTTGTTCAGATTGGAAAGTGGGCTTGGGCTCCTATCAAAGATCTTTTTAGCTTGAAAAAAAAAATCCAAACCAAAAATTAAGACATTTCTCACTCCTTTTGCCTAATGGAGAGTTTTTGAGTTATCTACTAAGTGTCTTTTACCTCCAGCTGAAATCATCCTCTTCTATTTATCTTAAAGTTTTTCCAGAAATACTTCAGGAGGTAGCCAGTCCCACCTGATCATTTGAATTGTTGTGTGCGATAAATGTTTAGAGGAGGTTGGATATACAATGCAGTTGCCCAACATGACCAATACACCTTTTTCTGGCATGTTTACGACTCTGATTCCTTTTTAAAATTTTATTTTACTACAAATAGGATTGAAGTTTGCCCTGATTCTATGTTAGTATCTATTAGCTTGTCAGCAGTTCTTCCTCTTTAAAAACATTGCATTTTAATTTATTCCTGGAGGCTATACAACCCAAGAGAAAATATTTGCAAGGACACTGTAATAATCAGAACCAAAATGTTGATTCCCAATTGTTACTGTTCATATAGTTTTCAGATAGCTCTGATGTCATCTGGTAGAAACAATCATGATTAATACATTCAGTAATCTGGATTCTGTTGACTATTGACAGCTCAGAAGTTCATCTCATGTGAATTTCCTTGTGTCTATTGGAACTTTTAATGATGATCCTTGAGTTATGATGCATTTGAACTCTTCCAATTAGGTGTAATGCCATTTATGTAAATAAAATTGTGGTCTATTTTTTTATTAAAAATATTCACTATATTTTAGCTTTTCTAAAATCTAGTTATTTTATTGTAATAATAAATTAAATAGTAAGAAAAAATAAGATTAGTAACTGACAAAAGAAAGGAGAGCAAGAAAGAAATGAGTGACACTAATATTAATAGTAGTCAACAGTTGTAAAGTATCCAGTATGTATTAAGCACTGGGTTAAACAATCTATGTCAAATACCTCGTTTAATCCACACAAATAGCATATGAATAAGAAAAAGTAATTTTATTTCCATGTTCCTAATGAGAAAACGGAAGTCAGAGAGGTGAAGTGATACTTAATCAAGATTATAATTGCAATATTATACACATGTATACAATATGTTGAAGTGGGTGGACCTGGGACTCAGACAAAAATCTATATCTTGCATCATGTCACAACACACACTTCTAACCTTTACTCTGAATTCTGTGTGGTCTCTGTATTTGTGTCACTCATTAAAGATTTCAATCCTGGGCAGAAGCACCCACTTGGCAGACACTGTGGGGAATTTTTTCCCATGGCATGTTTAGGGTTCAGCATAACAAAACATGATCTAATAAATATTAAATTTAATTATAGTTAGTTTCTAGAGGAGCTACATTTTTCTACATCAGATGATTCTTGTTCAAATATTTAATAATATTTTTTATTTAATCCAAAAGTTGTGAGTTTTACACACACATATACACACTGGGATATATGTGTATCTAAGTCATTCAAATAACTATTCATTTTAACACAGCATTGACCTAGAAAGTACTTATTGTTTTTGTTATGGAGGAAATGATTGCATAAAAGTTTTATGTTTACAACTCTGTTGATGATATTAATCATGTCTTTAACATAATGACATTATTCAAATTACTAGTGTCTGCCATCAAATAGGAATATGCTTGGATTTCATACAAGAATGTTTACATTCTTTCATCTTGAAATGCAAAACTGAGAATAAATTTCTATCATATAATACTTTAAAAAAATATCCAACTATTTAAATAAACAGCAATCATTTGTCATACCTTTTCTTTATGTTATCTCCTATTGTACTGCGTATACTAAAGATTTGCCCAATACTGTGTTAGAAATCAATAAATAATGGGTAAATTAATCTCAGCTAGTGTGTTCATGTGTAAAACTCAAAACTCTTGGGCCAAAAAATATTCTGGAAGTCAATGACAAGGACTGTATCTTAATTATTTTTGTTCCACCAAAGCATGGAGAATATCTGTTCTCCTGGGTAGAAGGAATTGGTGGCATATACTTCTATTTTGGCTCATCTTTTAGAGCTAAAATATGTGTATCAAGTTTTTCTTTGTGAGAAATAAAAAATAACCTGTTAACTCAAGACGGAAGTAAATTTAACAGACAGATATTAACAAACAGGGAGGCAAGTGAACTGAAGGAAGCTGGTCAACAGCAGATTCAGAGCCCATCTCTGCATCTGCCTTTGCCCCTCACCCCGGGTCAGGGATGCCACTGACTCCACAGTGAATTCTGAACTGTCTTTGCATTTTGCATCACTCACTCAAGATTCCAAGTCCTGGGCAAAAACACCAATTTGCCCCAGAGGTCATTTTGCATGACCATGTTCTAGATTCCAAAAAATAGGAGGAGAGAGTATTGGGCTTTTTGTTTTCTGATCTGGGAGCAGCAGATGCAAAAAGAGGTGGCTAACATGTCCTGGGAAATGACTGAGTGGGTGGGTCATCCATTAATTTTAGTGAAGAGGTATTTTTGCGATTGAAATAGTTTAATTTTGGAGTAAGGAAACAAACAAAAAATACGGCCGGAAAAACTTGTATTCCAACATACTTTTTGCTACTGATTAGCATTAGGATCTAAACCGTAGTAACTGCTCAGCGCAAGTGAGACTGGTCAAACTACACAGCACTTTTTAGGTAGAAGAGACATCTGTCGAAGTGTAATTAGAGAGCTAAGTGAATGGGACAGATTCATCATAATAGTTTTTAAGCCTCTTCTGGTGTGTATCTCTGGACCCTATGAGAGAGATAGAAAGTAAAATTACACTTTTATATTGATTATGGGTCTCCTTTCTGCAAGTTCCACAGCTGAGGTCTTAAAAAAAAGGTTTGGAGCAAACTGAAGTCATAACCAAATTCCATGATATCCTTTCTGCAGTCATATCTGCCTAGCTGCGCTTTTCAGAAAAGTGAATGAATCTGGTAAAATCATGTGTTGCTCCATAAACTATCCATGATTTAAAAGACATAGGGAATTCTTACACAAACAGGTTAATCAAATGCCTAAAACATCCAGATTAAACATACTGGGGCTTCCTCACTTGTGAATGAAGTTAAACATACAAATTTGAGTTCTTTACTCTAATAATGGTTTGGTTAAGTGCTTTCATAGTTTCACCAACAGATTCCTATCTGTAACATAATAAAATTACAACAACAACCAGGACTAACTTGCCTTTGCTGAATCAAGATCAGTGATTGATGTTGTCTTTATAATGACATTATATCAGCTTTTTAAAATTTCCTTTCTTATTTGCTAGAACCTCAATATATTGTTGAATCACAATGGGGACAGTGAATATCCCTGCACAAACAGTCACTAAGCCAGTAGCTGTCACCTGGTTAGTAACCCATAAATCTCTGTTGAGTAAACTTGATGAATAAAACCATTTATTATGTAATGCTAAATTAAAAGTAAGCCATAACAAAATGTTGTCTTGAAGCCAGGCAAGAAAAGAGTTTATCCTATATAATTCAATTTTATGAAGTACAAGAATAGGCAAAATTAATATATGCTGATAGATATCAGGATATAGGTTTATCTCTGGAGACGGCATTGACTGGGCAGGGGTAGGAGGAAGCCTTCTGGAGCGCTACAAATATCCTTGACCTTGTTAGAGGATACACAAATATATACAGGTACATATGTAAGCTTTGTGCTATAAGCATTTTTAAAAGGTTTTATTTTAAATTACTATGGATACATAATAGTTGTATATCAAGTGTTATGTGTGTTTGAAACCATATCTACAAATGAGCCATAAAACAGTAAGTATGTAGAATTATTTATAAATTGTCACTGTGTGGGAATGTTTAATTAATTTGGAAGCCACACAAACACATTAATCGTCTTTGTTTTAGGTTGCTGAAATTAGAGGAGATTTTATCTTTATGCATTTTATAAAATTCTGTTATGATTATGCATATTTTAATAAACAAAGGCAAGAATTTTTATTTTAGTTGTCATCGTATCATAGTATTATGAAGTTTGACACAGAGTTTTTACTAAATTAAAAAGAAAAGTACAATCGATATGACTAGAAATGGAAATGCCATTCTGAGTCAAAAGTTTTGAGGAGAAATAGATATTCCAGCTCACTCTATATATTTGTGTTTGGGGTAAATATCTGTTTTCTTTCCAACAGTACCCCAAGTGCCTAGAATAGTTGTAGAGACATAGTAGGATGCTTATTAAATATTTGTATGTGAGTGAATGAAACTGGAGAGCACTAGAATCTTCAAAATAGGCTTAAGTATCACTTAAAGCAGACCTCAAGTGTCCTTTACCTGTGATGAAATTGCATTTGCCTTTGCCAGTGTAGGGTGTGAATAAGTAATGAGGTATTCTCTTAAAGAAAAGTCCTCTTCAATAACAAGTCATATAGCATAGAGAACAAACAGGTGACAGATTAATTTGGAACCCTGGTTTTGTCACATGGTCTTTTTGTGACTTTTGCAAGGCTGCCCAAATATTCAGAGCCCAATTGTCCTCACCTGCAAAACAGAAATGTTTCTGAAATTGAATTAGATAATAGGATTCATCCCCTACTAGGCATTTGCTATGCACCACTCTGTGCTAAGAGCATTGGATGTTACCATATTTGTTTGTATGCAAAGTATAGGAATTACTTAGCATAGAGCTCAATAAAAATGCATTTTTTTCTTTATGGCAATTCAATTCTTGAGACCATTTCAATGAACTTTCCATATATTTTCTACTGCCTAATTCATTTTCTTTAGGTTTTTTAAAGTATTTTAGATTGTATTTTGTTGGCCTTTTCCTAAATACTTTAAATTCCTCAAAGGAATGAGATCCTTCCTTCCTGAGTTCTATAGGGTTCATTTGAATTATCAAATCCTAGTGTGGACTTTGAGGACAAGTACTCTTTGCCAGAATAAATGCAATATTATTTCTGATCAATGGTCACTCAATGGCTTTAGGGTACATTGAGTGAAGCAGAATTATTCTCTTCTGAGAGACAAAATTCCATTTTCTGACCACTCTGTGCCTCCCACTGTTAGACCCTTGTTCTGTTCTCTGACAAGCATGAAATGGTTACATATCAAAATCCCCATGAATTGATTATAAAAATAACAAGTAGGGTGGCAATGGTTCTATTCTATGAATCTTTGGAGAAAGTGGCATATTAGATTTAAGATTTTTGACTCAGAGAAGAGTATAGGGAGTGGAATTTGGAATAGGTTCTCAAGGGGAATAAGGGTGGTTGGTTAAAAGAGGGTAGAAGGACTTCTGGGTTTCCGGGGACTTGTGCCAAAGTAGAAGACATCTTGACTATGAAGGGGAAGACGTGACAGTTGCAGAGAAGATTATGTGTAGGAGGAAACCAAACTCTGATAGAGGCTTCTCCTTGAAAGTGGGTTTGGGAAAGGTTGCCATTTGAGTGGATGGGTGCAGGGTAGACACGCCAAGGCACTGTTGACACATTAACAGTGTCAAAGGCAGTGGGAACTGATGTCCCTTTAGTTTCCCTATAGTGAAGGAGCTATGCAAGTTCCTTGTGGAGTGTTGCTACGGGTCATGCTCTATGCCAGGCATTTGCAGAAGTTATTCCTTTTGATATTCAGAGCAGCCTCTGAGCTAGGAATCACTACCCCGAGGGAACCTGAGGATAATGGAAGTGAGGTAGAGAAAAGGAGAGGGGAAAAGGTATAAAAACTTGCCTCCTCTGGAGCACAAATGAGAATGAGGCATGGTTTTTTAAAAAAGTACTGAGATTTCTCTCTACACCCCCTCCTGGCTTTTTTTAATGTCCCTGAAAGGCTGGGATTAGGAATCCTCCCACAGCCCATGTCTCCTGAGAACTTTCATAGCACTGCTTCTGATTAAACTAACAGATTAGACCCAATGGCATAAGGCACAGCTTCTCTTCTTTGAGAAAGAGCAAGTAAGAATGAAGTGTTAGATTGCAAAGCTAATTATACATTCTGTTCAAGTGTCAACCATCTGTTGCAATTGTTTAAAAAGCAGACATAAGTCAACTGTAGGGGTGGGATGTTTACTGTCGTGAACACACAGAAAGCTTATGACACCAGCGCACAGTCCTTGTTCTATCACGGGCCTGCAGGCTGCAGTGGGATTCTAACGGATGTCTTGGGAAACTCATCTTTTTGAGAGAGGCTAAGTGATAGCTCCAGGTAGCTGAAGATTAAGTACTGGTCATCGAGACTCTTTCAGAACTGGAAAAGACCTTAAACATTATATGATCAACACTCTCTGTTTACAGATGGAAAAACTGAGATACAGGGAGGTCGAGGCACTACCTATTCAGTACTTCTATTTCAACACATGCGATCTTCCAATTTTCTGCAAAACTTCTGTGTCTGCACAGAGGGCCGTCTCAGGTGTATTAAGTCCCTAAGGATTGGGATGGAACATTATTTTCTCTCTCTACTTCATGCATAGACTAATACCCAGTACATCTCAGTATCTAGGGTATGTTGTACAAATATGATTAGCCTTAGGAGGAGTGGAGGTCAAGCCCCGCAGGGAAGGTGGCTTATTCCCCCTACACCAGAGTCAGGCCTTTCTTTTCCTTATCAATTTCTTTATTGCAAAAGTGGAGTGCTCTGCCAAACTGAGGCTTTCAATAATTTAATGAGAACAACTGGAATGAGACTGAATGTTAATTTTAGTTTACATTACTGGAGTCAATGGAAACCCAACAATAAGGAATGCTCCCTGAATCAGGAAAACCATTTTCTTCTGGCTCCGTCTATTTTTGAGTCAATGAAGAAGTCTTTTTGATAAAAGTAAATTTTGATTTTTTGTATTATTGAATAAATCCAGTCTCCAGGACAACCAAGGGGAGAATATTATGGGATCACGGTCAGGCTGTTCCCAGCCCTGTTCCTTTGGCATCTGCAATCTCAGTACACGGTGGAAATCATTTTCTTGCATTCCTGACTTTGGATCACTCACCAGGGATGGGAATTTCACTACCAGCATATCGTGGTTCATAGAGTTAGTAATCTTTCATTGATTTGAATGTTGCCTTTTTGTCCTTATACAATTTGTTTCCAGTTTTGCTATCCCTAGCAGCACATCCCTGGACAACTTCCTTCTCTCTTTATTGCCTTTTCAATGTTGAGAAGAACTTTCCTCTACTCTTTTCCATGAAAAATTGCAAAATTCCTTTGCTTGTTCCTCAAAAGACTTCTTATCCAGACCATGGGTGGAAACATTCCAGTTGTTGGTGAACCTATTACAATGAAATGCTTAGGTTTAGCCAATAAAATTTGAGGGGAATGTTGAGTGATATTAATCACACTCTTCCATTTGAGTTCACGACTCATCGAATGCACAGTAAGGCAAGCCAGGTAAGGCTAAGAAGTGATTTCAGATTAAGTACCGCACCAGGCAACTGGATACAATTTTATGTCAGGACTTCAGGGTTGCTAAGGCTTCCCTTTGTCATTTCCCCCCACTCCCCACTCCAAGTCTTGAGTTCCGGGCCTGGGTCTGTACAGGAGTATTGATTACCCCTTTCCAACCACCTGCGTAGACTTTTGCAGCCATCTCCATGCTTTTTTAAAGATAAGAGTGAAACAGAGAGTGAAATGGGTTCTACATTTCAACGTAAGACCTGGCTGATGAGCTTGCTAGACTTTACATTCTCATGGGCCTCTGAAATTAGACGGGATTTTTCTTATCAAGGGGAGAGACCACTGGGGTTCACAGAGTGGCACCCCTAAGGTGTTTAAACAATCCTTTCCCCTTTTGGGATTTGAGGTTGAAGATCCCACAGTCAGACTTAACGAAAATAGGTACCTTCTTACAGCTTAGAGTGAAAATAAATGAAAACAAGTTATTGCAGGACAAGTCATCGATTTTCATCACTTTATGCTTAGTTCTAACAACAGAGCTGCTGTTTAAAAATATGGCCACAAATGCCTTAACCTACTCCAGATCTTTACTGTTCTTATGATGCAAGAGCCACATCAACCCCAGGCTATTTCCTCATACAAATGCTTCTCAAGTGACCACCTCACCCTCGTACCCAGAAGGATGCAGCCCAAAGTCACTCTCCTCTTAATATCAGGAAAAATAAAACTATCAATGTGCCTTATTTTTATGCATTTATTTGTGTACTGTCTTCCCACTGAAGATTAAATGTATACTGTAACAAAAAGGCATGTAGTAAAATAATAATAATGATAAACTAAAATGAGAGTAAGAAAACAAGACTAGGGGGAAATATTAGGATAGAAATTCAAAATCATGATCAGAAATGAAATCAAGTGTTCTGGCCATAAGATGCTACATTATGGCCACTTTCTCAACTCTCTGTTGGTCCCAGTTTTGTTGAAAGCTGAACATAAAAATTTATATAGTTTTTGTCAGGGAGAGGAACAAGATAATTATTTTATCTTGAGTATTTTCATCCAGATCTTTATTTTCATCCAGATCTTTAGTTTATTTGCAGTGTCCTGGTTTTATTTCAGGATCCTTTTTATTAGAGTTAAGATGTAATGTAACAGTTAATGTTAAGAATAGTTTGTGTTCCAGGAAATGTACATGATATGGCAAATAAAAGATGCAAGGAGTAATGTGGATAATAAAATCTGTGGAGCTCAAATCCATGTAACTCAGATTTTTTCCAGTTCTCTCAACATAACTT